GAGCAATTAGGGGAATCATTGTATGAACAATATAGATGTCTAACCAATGTACTGAATACTTGAAACTAATTTAAATAAATAAATTTATTTAAAAAAATATACATATATATATACACACATATATAAATATATATATTTATATATATTATATAAATATAATAAACACACATAAATATGTATATATAAATACACACACACACACACACATATGTTAAGCATTTGTAAAAGTTCAGAAGTGAACTGAATGGTCTTACTAGTCACCCACACTTAAAATGTCAACACCAATGCTGACTTCTCCCTCTCCTCTTTCCATATATATTAGTTTGTTCATTCCATGACTGTTTATTGGACAGCTGCTCTGTGCCAGGCATTGTAATTCACTTTCAGTGAGCTCATAGTCTTTTAGGGAACAAAGAGATACAAATGCATGATGCAAATACAATAGAGTGGTGCCAAGAAGGAGACAGAATAGATAGCTAACTCAGTCCAGGGCTGGGCAGTAGGGGCCAAGAAAGCTTCTCTTGGTGGAGGTGATGACTGACTTGAGTTGGATTAAGCAGGACTTAGGGTAGATGGTGTGTCAGGCCAAGGGGACAACATGTACAAAGTCATGGAGACATGAGAGAGAGTGGCTGGTTGAAGAACTGTGTCTGGAGAACAGACCATCATCTTCTGCTCAAAGTACTTCTAGTTCTCTCTGTTCCCTGTACTCCACCCTCCACACCATTTCAGAGTTCACTTGGTCTGATATTTTTCCACCCTTCCCAACGTTTTGTATAAAACTTTTGACCAACTTTCCAGGATCAATGAGCTCAACAACATGCAGAAGCTATCCAAGAAATTCCAGTCCTTGCACTGGCGGTATTAACTTGAACCATATGAAATTGTCATTTTTGTAGACTGACTGTTGGCAATTTCAAATCTAGTTCAACCTAATGCACTCCTCACTGCTGTAATACTTTACCTGTAATTTTTTGCAGCCTTTTGTCGTGTTTTTCTGTATTAAAGCAGAAAAGCAGAAAAATAAAGAACAATAAAACTAAGGGACAAGGGAAAAGGCTTTTTTGGCTTACCTTCAGTTGTTTTAGATCAAACTCAGTATCTAATACATTCTTCACTGGCTTTTCGCAATCAGTGCAGAGAATATAATTGAGAGCTTGGGAACACTCTTTTGCTCTTTGCTGTACCTAATATGATTATTAGAAGAAGGAAATGACAGAGTAAAAAGTTGTAACATTTATTTTAAAGTTTGTGTAGAGTTTACATGTGGGGAAAATGGTCAGTTGCTTTTAAACTGGAAATGTCTAAGAAATTAATGATTAGAAAACAATCTAGCATAATGACACCGGCACCAGCTTTGCAGGTAGTTATAGCTTAGTCCAAATCCTGGCTTTGTTGCCTACCCACAGTGTGACCTCAGATGATTACTTAACCTCTCTAAGCTTCCATGCATTGTATAATAATGCTTATCTCAGTGAAATGTGATTGGGATTAAATGCAATAACAGAGGTAAGGCACCTACTTAAAAGCTTGGCACAGGGCAGAAGCCAGAGTGCTTTATTTCATTTAATCTTCCCAACAGCCCTGTTAGAAAGATACTGTTATTATTCCTTATTTTGTAACAGAGTAAACATGGAAGCAAAACAAAGAGAGTAAGTAACTTGTCCAGGATCACCCACTGCTACGTGATGGCGCCAGGATTCAAACGCAGAAAGTTGGATTCTAAGGCCTGGACTCTTAACGCTATTGTATAACCCACTCTCTGAAAAGTAGTTTTATTTATATTGCCTGTGGCAAGGGGGAGGGACTCTATGAATTTATTTTGAGATTTTAAAGTTAGAAGTTCTAATGCAAAAGAATTCTGTATATTTGCTGTATCTCCCAGAATTTTTGTTTGTTTTTACTATGATTCAGAGAATCTTCTGGTAGATCTTTTGATACTGTGAAGTAGGAGCGTGAGGAGCACAGCTTGTCCTGTGTAAAGTTAAATATGCAAATGTCACCATTTTGCATATGCTTTTTTCAGTCACCACAACACCTCTACTCTTACTGCAGTGTACCTGCTCATTTCGCAGAGTCGCCTCCTCCTCTCTTCGTTTTAGGGTTTTAAAATAGAGCCAAGACTTATTCACAGTTTCTGCAGCATACTGGTCATTGAAATAGTAAGTTGCAGATGCTGATTGATCTCTACAACATAAACAGAATCACTTACACTTCCTCATCTCACCCACGTTCCTCATCCCCATTGCTGATCCCTCCTCACTCAGTTCTTTCTGACTTCCCTTTCTTCATCCACAGCACATTTTTTTTTTTTTTAAATCAACGAGGACCCCAAGGGATTTCTAAGAAAAAGGCATCATTGTGAGTAAAATCGACCCATAATATCTTCACAATTCTGCGAAGCAAGATTGAAAACTCACTCCTGGAATCAATTCCTAGTACTGTCACTTACTAGCTGTGTGGCTTCGGGCCACACAGTACCCTTTCTCAGCTTCATTTTCTTCCTCCTTAAAACAGTGGTACTGGTACCCATTTCATAGGGTTGTTATGAAGATTATATAATGGTATATGACTATGGCACGTGATAAACACTCCAGAAATGTTAGCTGTTTTTTTAATTCTTGACAATCTAACTCAGTCTCATGATGTAATGATAGTTGACAATCCAATCAACAGCTTTTATAAACCTTTAAGAAAGTTAGAGCCCAGTACATACCAGGTGACATACCTGTGTTCTACAGCAGCAACTATAAATCCATGAGATGCCAGTTCAATGCCAATAGCAGAATAAATTGTCCTTCAAAACAAAAAGAGGGAAGCGTTCAACTCCCTGTAATGGTTACAAGGTGGGATTCACTAATGAACCTGGGCACATGGAGACCATCACACCCCCATAGTAGTCCCCAGGGTGAAGCAGAGAACTGTGGTTCTCAAAGGATGGGTGGCAATTTTGCCCCTCGGGATATATTTCACAATGTTTAGAGGTGTGTTTTTATTATCATGACGCCGAGGAGGGTGCTACTGACATCTAGTGGATAGAGGGACTAAACATCCTGGCATAGGAAGGCCTACACAACATGAAATTATGCAGTCCAAAACATCAATAGTACCAAGGCTGATAAACCCTGGTGCAGCGATTATAAATATTGCCTTTGAGAGTTCTGGGTTTTAATTGTGATTCTGCCGCTTACCAGCAACATGACTTTAGGTAATTACAGTACTGAATTTTTGTCCTCACTTGTAAAGTGGGGCTATTAATGCCTTTGCTTTAGGAGAGTTGTAAGATTTTGATAAGAGAATGTATGTGGGAAGGCAGTATAGTGTGGTTTAAGAGAAAAGGACCTGTAGTCTGACCACTGTGTTTGAATCCTGGTTCCTCCACTTCTTAGATGCCTACCTAGGGTAAGTCACCCGTCTTACCTCTGCCTTGGTTTTTGTTTTTTTTTTTTTAAATCTGTAGAAGGGTGATGTTATAACAATACAGTACCCAATGAGATTATTGTAAGGATTAAATAAGTTAACACCTTTTCGGTACTTATAATCATGTCTAAAATTGGGTATTACTGAACATATATTAGCTGTTGATTAAATAAATGGACAGGGTGAGAAGCTTAAAAATTCATGTTCTAAGCAACTGCATTTATAACCCCTTTCTAGGTCTTCGTTCTGCATAGTCTTTTTATATCATGGATTCAATAGAAACTGTCCACAGAGAATAAAAAGGAGGTAAGTAGAAACTGTATCTTCTACTCTTGGAGATGCAAGACGGACTCAGTAAGAGAAAATGACCCAGCACAGAAATCAGCAAACCTTTTAGTGAAAAGTCAGAGAGTAAATGCGTCCAGTTCTGTAGGCCATCTATTACTTGTCACAGCTACTCGATTCTGCTGTTGTAGCACAAAAGTAGCCATAGACAATGTGAAAAGCAAATGAGTGTGGCTGTGTTCCAATGTAATTTTATTTACACAAATAGGCAGCGGGCTGGGTTTGGCCCTGGGATTCTAATATGCCAACTACGGGCTAGACTACAATTAAAGAACTGAAGATAATTTCTTATTGCAGATGCTACCCAACTTCTTTCTCGCTGAAAGCCACCTTTTCTTTTCTGAAAGTCTTATAGTCTTCTGAGGTGGAAGAAAGAGAGGAGGCAGTACGAAGACAGAAGTAGAGAGGGTAGGTGATTATGAAAATGCACCACTCAGATATTATGCCACAGAAACTATAGTTGACTAAAGACCCCACCCAGCTGCTGCCCCTCTGGATCCACCACCACATGACAGTTTCCGGTGGGTCACTCCCAGTGACTGGGCAGTGCGGGTGTAATGTAGGCCCATTGCTGTGATACGCAGAACTTCTTTGATGAGCAGCTTTGGGTCAAGCACTCCCTCTCCTGGCTTGGCCTGGTCTTTCTTTGAACCGGGCTGTAGCCTGGTATTCTTCATACCCAATCTTCTGTTTCCCATCTCCTTTCCAAGTGTCCAACCTGAACGTTGTCTGAAGGCTCTCTTCATCTTTTTCTGCACCTTCCCCTCTATCCTTCACAGGTATTTCTCTCAATGAATGTCTTTCACAGCTAATCCAATCTTGGATCTTGGTACTATTTCTCAGAAGCCCTGAACTAACACAGTGGATCATTTTGAGAGTGTAAATATTATAATATAGAAGGACAACGGCCAAAAATGCAACACCCTCTCTTCTCTATTGTGAGGCCAATCTCCATGAACTGGATAGAGGAAAAGACACAGCTATGACCAATTGACAGATCACATCCAACTCTTCAGAAGCCTCAACTCCTCTAGAACAGGGGCCAGCATGAAGCTCCAAAATTTGATTTTCCTTTTTTGGGAAGAAACACATTTGGTTATTGATCCCTAGATCAATAATTGTTCAACAATCTCTCAAACTTTACCTGAATGCGCCAAGACCATGAGAAAAAACAATTAGTGGATATTTTTCACCAGTCCTCAGATGGGCATTCCAGTTTGCAGGAGTTGTCAGTGAACCTAGACAACAATGGAAGATTATAAGTAGCATTTTATCTGACTTGAATGTTGTTGGTTAATTTAACCTATATCTCCTTAGTATAAAATCCTGACCCATGGAATTTATATTTTTATGCACTAATAGTAAATTCATTAAAAAGTTTCCTACTAGATACACACCAACCAAAAACCTCAACCATGTGTTTTTTCCTAAGACCATAGGCTCATTAATTATCAGTCCTCCTTGCCAGCTCTAAACTTAAGGTGACATTTTTTTTTTACTTAAAAGTGTTCAGCAAGGCTGGTTTTTATTACCAATCCCAGGTTTTGGCAAAACTTCTAAGGGAATGTTCAGAAACCAAATTACTAATAAAACTCAAGAACATTACACTGAAACCCAGAATCTTCAAATTGGAGACTCCTCTCATTCTAACTAGTTTGTGATCAAAAGAAAGTTGGAGAGACCATTGACTCCATATTCAGGTATGGCTTTGCGTACAGTTCTGCCATTTACTGGTTATTGACGTTGGGCACATTAAGAGAACTTTCTAAGCTTCAGATTCCTTTTCTGTAAAATGAAGGAAATGATATCTACTTCACAGGGTTTTGTGAGAATTACATTTAAGTAGGTAACATATGTAAAGCACCTATCCAGTCACATAGTAAGGGGCACAAAAAAGGAAAAGCACTGTCTTCTCTTCTTCTTAATTCTTATTCTCATTATTATCGTCAATGATTGTGTTTCATTTTCTCATCTATAAAATGGAGATGTGATCATGAAGAATGAATATGATGATTGCTACAGAAGTGATTTATAAGTTATTCGAGCACCATAAATATGTGTAGTTATAGAATTTTCATCATTTCTATAATAAAAGGGCTTTTCAGAAAACTCTCAAGATGTTTAAAATAAATGCCAAACACAGTAGGTAGTTTTGGTTGGGGGGGGGGTGAAATTTGAAGATATAATTAACGCCAGCCCAACGGTAGTGTCTGGTCAAACAGGTAAGATAGGAAAAGTCTGTATTAGTGAAATGTAGACAAATGAAGTGATGATGACTGCATGTCAGATTGTCTTAGGGAGAGAGAGGCTGGTCCCCTGGGGGTGGGTGATGGGAATGAGAGTAGAGTCTCCTCATTTATGCTAAGTAAGAAATAAGCTTTTACTCCTTCATTTCGGATCTGGAGAATTATGGTGGCTTCTACTTTCTTCCTCTTTGGCCCTACTTTAGAAGGCACTTTAGTACAGAGCAATGTGGGATAGTAGTCACATCAGCCCAGCTGATTATTGTTCCCCCATACTATGTAAGAAAATAAACTGAAGACCAGTAAATGAGAGATGTTGGAGCCAGTCTGAAAGTCTGATACTTTTATTCCCTACACTCATCCCATCATATTCAGATTAGACCAAATGAGAACCCTTGATTTGCTGATAGTTACCTGGCCTTTGGCCTTCTAAGAAATACGTACTTTCTTTGTCATCCTAGGAGAAGTTTAGACTGGAGAAAACCTACTTTGGTCCTTAACTGCCTGAAACTCTTGCTGTTTTCAAAGCTTTCTTATACTCTAGAACCTACAAATCAGAATCAGCAGAAATCTTACCATATAAGAAGTTCAAAATTTTGCCCATAAACCAGTGTATTCCAATATATTTACTAAGACCAAAAAAATATTCTTCATTTGGGATCAAGAGGGTTTCAACATACTCATCATCTTGGGATGGATAATACAAACGCAAGAAGGTGCTCTGTAGAAGAAAGAAATCAATGTACTTTTAGTCGTTGCTTCTCAAACAGATTCTAACAGCTATTTTACATATTTAATTAGTAGGAACCCAAATACCTCTGTTGTTCATGAAGAGGTTCAGACAACTTTTTAAGCTGCTGTCATGAATGAATACAGTAGAAAGAGAAGAGAAATAGAACAATATATTCTTTCTAAGTGAAAGGAAAGTATGAGCAGCCCTGTTCCACCCATTAAGAAAGGGAAAAATGGAGTTAATAGGTAAGTTATTTAAACAGATAACAGCAATGAGATGGGGAAGCAAAAGTCTTCCTATGAAACAATATAAATGGCAGAATGCCCTCACATTCTCAGGTGAGGGCAAGTCAAATTTCAAAACCGCTAGTGAGCAGTAGCGATAGTCAGTATTACCATATAAAGATAAGTGGTATTAATCAAAGCATTACCTTATTAGTGTACTCAAACATCAAGTCTGTACAACCAACAGAATAAAGGCCACTTCCTCTGGGGATTTTAGTTTGGCCCAAAAGTGCAGCAGCCATCAGAGCTTGTATTTTACTGACACATGCTAAAAAACAAGTAAATATTAATTCACTTGTCATCCATTACTTTATTATGCAAAGAAAAACCAACAGAATCAAATGTCTGCCCATAGTTTCTGGTCTCTTTCATTCTTTTACTAACTAGTAAAAGACAACAAGTAATTAGTGAGGGCCCTGCTGTATGCAAAGTCTTGTATGGGGAAAAAGATGAAAGTAGATATTGCCCGTCTCCCAAGGCATTTAGGATCATCACCTCCTAAAACTCATAGCCTTGCCCTTACTTTCTGTTCTAATCCAGAGCATATTAAAGACCACTTCCTAAATTTGTTTTTCTTAAACATGAACTTGATCTCACATTTCTTATTTGTGAGATCACAACTTCCCATTGGGTATCTCTACCTGATGTCCTTCCCTTAGGAACATCAAAGATAATCATTTAAAGTAAAACTAAATGACCCTCTCCCTACTCTCTCTCCTCATTTTCCAACTACAGAGCCTGCAAACTCTAGAATTTCCTATCTCGTGAATCCCAAGCCAGAAACCTAGGGATCATTTTACTCATCTACCTCTTTCTCACCAACTCCCTATATCCGACCAAATCTCAATTTATAACATTTGTTTTCAGCTTATAATTTTCTCTCCAATATACCTATGATAATCTGTCTCATTTATACCTTCGCTGTTTCTTGATCAGACAGTTGCCATCTCTCCTAACTGTTCTATTCACCTTAAATCTTGGCCTTTTCAAATTCATGATTCACCCACCTCCTGGAGTGATTTAAAATACAAATAACACCAGGCAATTCTTAAAATTCTGCAGTGGCTTTCTATCATCAGATGGCTTTTCTTGAAGGGGGAATTTATTGGAGTCTTTTTGGTAGGCAGTTTGTAGGTGGTATTTAAATCTACGGATGCCTTCCTAAGCTATTTCCATTGTTACTTGAGGCTCGAATGTGTCTTATCCTTCCAGTGATTTCGGGTTGAAATATGTTCACAGGCACATAAATCTCAGATTCTGGGGCTGTGTAAGAAAGACCCTCCATGCTCTGGAAGTCCACTGTCTCATTGTCTTTCTTGCTTTTCCTCTTTAATTTATCTCTCTTCCATGTGCTCCAGTGCTCTCGAGCTACACATTGGGCTGTTTTCATTGTGTTTTAAGTCCTTGTGGCAAATTCCTATTCAACTTTTATCATTTCGATTTGATGTCAGGTCTTCTCCGAAGCCTTCTTTGATCCCCCAGACTTAATGATTTTATCCTTAATATTAAATCGATTCCTCAAATATGTTTCTATCATTCTTCCTATCATATTATAGTAAAATTATGTGTTTGCACACTCTGTCTCTCACAGTAGGCTATTTCTTAAGAGCTGTGTCCGTGTCTTTGTAGCCTCAGATCTTAACAAAATGTGGGGCACATGGTCAGTGTTTAATAAATATTTGTGAAAATGAGCTGAACTAAGTTTTTCACTGCCACTGGTTTCTTGTTTTCATCAAATGCTTTAGAATATACATTCTTTTACCCACCCACTCCTGAAACTTTCTCCCCCTCCAGTACCAAAACCCTTCGACACACCTGCAGTTTCATTTCACCTGTTCTCCTCCTTTATAACTCTCAGTCAAGTCCATATTTAATTTCAAGATGGTGAGTCCAAATATCGTATATCCAGACTTTTACTCGACTAGATTCAGCTTGCCTGCTACTTTTCTTCTGTCTAACTGTGAGTTGATTACTCTGCTAGACAGACACTTTTGTGCTTTCTATGACATTCTGCCTCTGCCACTGACACTTAGAACTATGTTAGGTATAGCACCTGCATTGATATTATATGACATCACCTAGAAAGATTTTGAGTCATGAGAAGAAGCCCATTTATATCCTCCACATTGGCGACTAATACGTGAAGCACCACCAGTGATGAGCCTTTCAATACATAAACTCTTGCTACTCAAAGTTGGTCCATGGACCGGCATCATTGGCATCACCGGAGAGCTTGGAAATGCAGGATCTCAGGCCTCACCTCAATTCTGCTGTACCAGAAAAGATGTGCCTATTAAAGTTTAAGAAGCACAAGACTAAGGTACCAGGCCACCTGGACTGACACATGGGTCAACAATTTACAGTCAAACAGTAGGAAGTAGTTCCAAAGAAGGCAGGGGATGAGATGAATGGATCCTGGATCTTGGAGCCAAGTGATCCTATTTTAGATTTCAACTGTACCTCTTGTAGCTATAATGCACGAGGCTAAGCAATTTACTCCCCTCTCGTACCCTTATTTGTAAAGTGAGAATAAAAGCACTAGACCAGCCCGTAGGACAGTTGTAAGGATGCTGTCAAGTACCTAGCATGGAACATAACATGTAACAGGTAGACAACCGATGTTATTTGTCCCTTATCTAGAGTTAGTTAACTCTGGTTACCCAAATTAAAGCCCTTAGAGGAGTTTTAGCTGAGCTAAACTAAACCATATCATTTTCCCTTCCGGCAGATTCAACCCAAGGCGTTTCCTCAGAGATTAAAGAAAAAAACAACCATACCTTTACATGTAAGGCTAACATTTTAGAGTGTATTTTGAATTAGAAAAGGCTCTTTCTCTCCCATTTAAGACTGTCTACTGAGCCATGCTTTGTGGTGTGATAGAGATACATCAAGTCCAGTAGGGGAGTAGGGGACAGTAGGGGAGTCTATACCTGCCTTTTGCTTCTGTAAGATGCAGCTTGGGTTCTGCTGTGCCCTTTCCCACAGGCAGTTATAGTGTGTGTGACTGTGCAGGGGTTGAGGGAGGAGGAACTCTGTTCAGAATTTGGTGAGCAGCCCAGAAAACCCACAGCTGCCTTGAAAGCACTCCTTCTGGAACTAGGAGTTCAGTTCTAGAGCCATGGAAGGGTTCCAAGTTGCACAAGGTTCTCTATTATTGGAAAAGGCATGCCTTTTCCAATAATAGAGGCATGCCCCGGTTGTCTAACACCTGCTCTACTGAAAAGCCTCCTCACTCAGCATTCAGGAACCACAGATCAAGGTGGAGCTATAGGCCCAAGCCATGGAAGGGTTCCAAGTTGCACAAGGTTCTCTTGTGAGATTTCAACTCCACTTATGGTAACCTTTTCCAATAATAGAGGCATGCCCCGGTTCTCTAACACCTGCTCTACCGAAAAGCCTCCTCACTCAGCATTCAGGAACCACAGGTCAAGGTGGAGCTATAGGCCCGCCTTTTCCAGGAACCCCAAACCCTGAGAAGGTCTTAAGAAATTCTGAACTGGCCCAGGTTTGGGTGTAGACCTACAGGGCCCTGGTGACTAGCCAGGGGAGCTGCAGAAAAGACTCACTAGCCTAAGGCTAATGTGGTCACGGTCCTGGATTTCCTGTCCTCTCTGACCATCTATCATCGTGGTGGAAGATTCATCGTGATGGAAGAGGCAGGGAAGAGGCTTGTCAGGTTGAATGGCCACTCTCTAGATGATAACATTTTGTGATTCAGAACCTATGTCACTTCCTATTTTTCTTCAACTTTATTTTCATAAAAGCATTGGAATACTCAGTATGTTATTAATTTTACTAAATATTTCTGGATGGAATTCATTTTGTCAAGTATTCCTGATATTTATTTCTGGGTTTGGAGATGGAAAGTATACATGCTAGAAACATTACATTCTCTATATGGCTTTATATCCGCCATTAGCTAATAAGCTATCTCTAAATCCATATTTATAAATCTTTTACCTGCATAATCATATTTTCTATGTATTCATTTAGTAAGAAGAATATAATCATCTTTTATTTTAATCTTTTATTTAATAAACTATTTCTAATAATTAAAAAATATGCATTCATTTTTGAGCATTTAGAATGAGTAGAGTATTAGGTCCAATGCTGGAACTACAAAGTCAAATGAAGCAGTGTCCCTGTCCTCAAGTTTCTGCCAGTCCAATGACAGCTTTCCAGTAATTTTCAAAGATGAGGGAAAATAAGAGATGAAATTCCCACCCTGGACCAATAAAAAGTGTGTGATGTTAATGTCTCCTCGTTGATAATTTGCTCATCAGGTAAAATATTACTTGTTTTCAATCCATGCAAAAGGTAATGAACAATTAATTTAATTAGGCTGCAAGCCTTGAACCTGATTGTGAATCCTTTGGCTTAGTAATCAGTGTATCACTGATGACTCAGTTCTTGGTTAAGTGTTGTTGAATTAATGGACATGTGAGATATTTCGTCATTTTCTATGTAAATGTAGATTAGATATAAGATAGAATCCCTCTCCTACTGATGAAGTAGGGTAAAAATTACAAGGTGCCACGTTACGAAAGGTCTTTTGTAAATGTTACAGTAATGAGTCACCCATCGAGGCTGAATAACTATATTCAGAGGGACCATATTTATCTAGGTGCACAGGTCTGTGTGTATAAACAGTATGACACCATTCAGAAGTCACCTACACTGCTCACCTGAAGAGAGTGGATAGAAAAGTTCATAAATCGCAACCCTCTGGGATTAGGAGGAATTCATAAAACTCCATAAGCAATCTCTTTGCAATAAACATCTACCTTCTTAGTGATGGTAGATGTATCTGACTATAGATGGCTGTTCCACTCTGGCCCCCACTTCCGGGCTTGTCTAGGCCTTCCTCTCCTCTCCTTCTCTCCCACCACAGGGTAAGAAAGAGCAAGCGATGCAGTCCACTCTCATCTGCAGCTCCTTAGTGCCTATTTCTCCCTACTTCTCCCTATCACTGGATAGAAAAGGTTCTTTCCCTCTGGATCCTCAGACCCTAAATTGCTTGAACAAATATATCTCTTACCTGATGATTTAATATGTGTAACAGGATTTAGGTCTTGCCAGTCAAAAGTATGAACCAGTGCGAGGCAGCTGCAGAGGCAGAAAAATGCATGCAATTTGGGAGGCAACATCTTGGGAGCTGAGCAGTGGTTTCAGATTAATCTTCTTCAAGAAGATTATTAAAAGAAAAAAAAAACATGGATAAAGAGGACTTAAATAGTCAGACAAATCAATGATATTAGGTACTAGTAACATGATTTTACATGTTATAAGGAAAGAAGACATTTGGCAAAAATGGAACATGCGTTTTCTGAAAGGCGCGAAGGTGGCAAAATCCTTGGAAATCTGGTCTGTAGAGCATAGAAATAACACTTTTAGTCTGTTGTATTGGGCTCTTGGTAACTAGTTCTCTAATTTTGTAGCAGTCTAGTTTGGTCATAAAGAATAGCATCAAAATATAATAATTATAACAATTATATATCATAATCATAATAATATCCATAGGTATGTCTAGCACACAGTAAGTTTTGACTAATATTTCCATCATAATTATAAAATGATCATTTTGCTATAACTGTAGTTATATTTTTGGTTATCCTATAATTCCACTACACTGAGAGCTCCCCAAAGGCAGAGGTCAGGTCATCCTTATTGTCCTCCGTGCCTAACAGAGGGCCTGGCATGCTGTTGGTGTTGAATAAATATTTGTAGAATCCGTAAAAGAATGTTTGTAGTCCAAGAAATAGAACATAGAACTCATGATAATAATACATGATATTACAATTGGGCTCACCCTAATATCTTATTAGTAAAAAACTATCTTGTATTTACGCATCACCTTTCCCCTTTAAAATTTCTCGCCTCAACTTTCTGGGGTGATGGAAATGGACCAGGCCATTGCCATCTTTCACTTGAACTTTGGCAATAACCTCGAACTGGTCTCCCTGCTTTTAGCCTTTTCCCTATAGTCTATTTCCAATAGTAACCAGGCTAATCATTTCACTCCTCTGCCCCAAATCCCCAACTGGCTTTATATGACACAGACCATAAGCCACAGACCATAAAGTCACCTAGAAGGCTCTACATAGTCTGTATTCAACAGACTCCCGATCCTACTCCTAGCCACTCTCACATACTCACGCAACCACACTTGCTTCCTTGCTGTTCACCAAATATATCAGGTACTCCCCGCCCTTCTTTGGGATCGTTAGATGTGTCCCTTCTTCCAGGAAGATTCTTTGCCCTGATACCCAAGTGACTGGCTCCCTCACTCCTAGGTTTTCGCTTCCTTGTATCTTTCTCAGTGAGGGCTTTCCTGATCAATTTAAAATTACAAACCAACCACGTTCTCCACACTTATCCACGTCCTACCTCCCCACCCCCAACATACTTTGTTTTTCTCTACAATATTTATCACCAATTAATTATCTCTAAGCATTATTTGTTAATTGTTCATCTTCCTCTACTAGAAAGTCAATGCTGTGAGTATAGGACATTTTGACTATTTTTTCCCCCTGCTATATTTCCATGACCTAGAATAGTACCAGCACACAGGAAGCACCAATCAATGCCTGTTCAGCGAATGAATTCCAAATCCTAGGAGTTGCCAATGCAAAAGCTTACTAACATAAACTGAGCCAAGTTTAATAATCCATGTGAGTATTGGGCTCACTGATACTAGTGGGGTACTAACTAGTTGGTATAGTTATTCTGCAGGGAGATGTAAACATGTGGCACAGATAACTAGTGCTTCTGAGCACTTTTCCTGTCCTTTGTGGCTGGACAGGGTCATGGGGCTGATTTCTGATAAACGGGAATTAGGAGGGAAGTGGTTGGTCTAGGACACTTAAGAGTCAGTATTGTCTTCTCCATCCTTTCCTTTCCCTGATGTAGCAAATGATATAGCATGTGGTCTCAAAATGGAGGAAGCCTGGACCCTTAGTCACTGAATAGAGAAGAGCCTCTGCTAATTCATATGGCCTTTCATGAGAAAGTCCATATATTGTGTGAAGCCACTGAAATCTCCAGGTTAAGCTCTTATTGAATTATTGCAGCACAGCAAGGCTTAATATAATATCAGATATGCAGCCATTCATTCAATGAGTATTTATTAAGCAAATACTACATACCCTCTGCTACGTCAACTGTTGTGGAAATACTGGAGAATTTGACACATCCTTGCTCTAAAAGAGCTTATAATGGGGTTTCTGAGATAAGAGTAGCACGTATAATACAAGTAGATAGCAAATTGCAAGGACATTAACAAATTCTTAAATTATATGGTACAAATTCTCAGGGAAATGGGAATTCAAAAAGAAAGTTTTCAGAAGAGACAGAGATGTAATAAAGTCAGCTCTTATCACACAGGTTATAAAAATCCAGATAGGTTGCTAGGAAAATTGTCACGAGCTCTAAGCTTCTTGGGCTACTTATAGAATGACTGTATTTCCTTATTCTACATATTTTTTCATCGGAAAAAGATATGTATACTTTAACTCCTTAGATTATTTAAAATTTTAGTTGATTATATTTTATCTCACTTCACTACTACTTTTAATTTTATTATAAAGTCAATATATGATTTCAAAATTTTAACATGATAGTAAGAAAATAAAAATTGACTTGTCTCTTCACTGATAATCACTTGCTAAGAGATTTTTTCCCACATGTATTTCTATGCTTGAATACAATACACACAAACACACTCAGATATGTAAATATACATATACATATATAAATATATAGTTTTAAATTTTTTATTTATAAAACTTCATACTATATATTCCACTTACATTTTTAATATTATAATATTTTAGATATCTTTTCATATGAGTACATGGTAATATAATATATCTTTTTATTTTAAAATGGCACTTAGGAGTTGCTCAAAAGAGTTTGTTCACTAAATGAATACTGCTGACACTTGAAGGCTTCTTATGTGTCAAGCATTTTACACAGTTCCTGGCACATGTTATCTTTATTCAATCGTGACCAAAATGATATGTGAGGGAGGTTTAATTATCCTCATTCCATTGATGAGGAAATTGAAGCAAGGAGAGTTTAATTGACTTGTCCTAATCATACAGCTAGCACGTGCTGGAGGCAGGGCTTAAATCCAGAATGTTTGAGTCCCTACTTTTAACCACAACATACCAACATTATGAAGCAATTCCTGAGCAGTCTAAAACTATAACCTTCTAAATTTAAAAGAAGAAGAAGAAGGAGGAGGAGGAGGAGAAAAAGGAGGAGGAGGAGGAGAAGGAGAAGAAGAAGAAGGAGAAGGAGAATTATTATTTTAATGATGCTAAAGTGTTCGGGAACTCCCTGGATTGAGAAGATGACGTAACAAAGAATTATTCATGGTGGCCAGGCGGCCAGGACATGGAACAACCAAAGAGTCTGAGAGATGATTGGATATAGAAGATGTGGTATATATAGACAATAAAATATTACTCGACCATAAGAAGAGATGAAATACTGCCATTTGTGACAACATGGATGGATCTAGAGATTATCATGTTAAGTGAAATAAGTCAGAAAAAGTGAGAACCATATGATTTCACACATATTTGGCATATCAAACTGAAAGCAACAAACAAACAAGACAAACAAACAGAGACTCATAGACACAGACAACAGTTTAGTGGTTACCAGGAGGAAAGTGGGGTTGGAGATACACAAATAAGGGTAAAGGAGGTGAAATATATGGTGATGGAAGGAAATTTAACATCAGTCAGAAAAAGTGAGAACCATATGATTTCACACATATTTGGCATATCAAACTGAAAGCAACAAACAAACAAGACAAACAAACAGAGACTCATAGACACAGACAACAGTTTAGTGGTTACCAGGAGGAAAGTGGGGTTGGAGATACACAAATAAGGGTAAAGGAGGTGAAATATATGGTGACGGAAGGAAATTTAACATTGGGTGGTTAACACACAATGCAACATACATATGATGTATTATCGAATTGTATACTTGAAATCTGTATAATTTTATTAACCAATGTCACCCCAATAAATTTAATTTAAAAATTACATAAAAACAATAACAACAACAACAATAACAAGAGTTAGAAATTGTTCTCCAAAGAAATGAGACAGTTTCATTGTTTTTTATTCTAATATAAATTTGGAGCAACATGCTAAAATGATTGGAAACTGCAGAGTATTATGCATAAATCCAGGAAAATAGCTACTAAATTGCAATAGAAGTTGAACTAAAGTCAGGCTACCTGCTTACCAGCTTCCACCACTACTCCTCTGTTATACTGTCACAACTAGGTTTCTCATCAAATAACATCATCCACGGAAAATGTTTATAGGGTCATGAGCACAGGCCTTTAGAAAATTCCACCCCTGATGCATTCAGCTTATGATAATCCAGGAAAATAGCTACTAAATTGCAATAGAAGTTGAACTAAAGTCAGGCTACCTGCTTACCAGCTTCCACCACTACTCCTCTGTTATACTGTCACAACTAGGTTTTTCATCAAATAACATCGTCCACGGAAAATGTTTATAGGGTCATGAGCACAGGCCTTTAGAAAATTCCACCCCTGATACATTCAGCTTATGACTGGAAAATCACTTGTGATGAAGATGAGGAAAGATGGAAGACAAAGTGAAATACGTAGAGTCCCAATTTTTAGGAACGCTGACCTAAAGAAGTTCAGCTTGCCCACAGCTTCTTGGTATTCACACATTCCCTGTCAATAACCTCAGGAAGAATGAGAGACAGCCAATTTCTGGCAGGGCTTCCCCAAGTCCTCCAAGAAGGACTGGGGTGCTCTTCCTTCCCCATGATTCCTACCAAACCAGTGCCAGGGCCACCACCTTTGGTCAGCAGAGTAGAATTAAGGCCAGGTGAAACGGCACACTCAGGTTTCCAACCTGATCTCACGCAAGTGACAAAAGCTCTTGGGGGAACTTTGAACACACTGATTCTTGAGCCCCAGGACTTAATGACTCGAATCTTCATAAGGCAGTTCCTGGCATCTACATCTTAACTCTCTAGGGATTCTGACACAGCCAACCCCCAAATATAGTGTTTGGAAATTGCTGCGATGAAACAATGCAGGTACTGTTTGTCTGATCTCATCTTCAAAGTAATAATCCTCTAAATAATTTAATGATTGGCTGACCCATTCATTCATTTATTCATGTTTTCATTTACTCAAACTTAAGAGTGCCTATGTGTCAGTCACTATATTTGGGATAATAAGATTTTTAAAAGAGGTGTGACTTTTGTCCTCGAAATTCCCAGCAGAGAAAGAGACTTTCGAATAATCATAATGAATGCTATAACAGATTATTTACAAAATTTAATAGAAATAAAGGCCTAGTGAGCATAAAAAAAGACGCAAATTTTAGCACCTCCATTTATCAGTTTGAGGGATGAAGATCAATGAAACAGGAAGGCTATGCAACCTGCCTGAGATCATACAACTAGCCTTTGTCATGGGCAGGACTAGATGGCAAATCTTCCTCCTTTTGCCCTGGTGTACTGAGTGATAAAAGGACCCAAATGGGATCTCTCTCCTCTCTCCATCCTTCCCAATGCCGCAAAATGCTCTGCCTTTCACACCTCTGGTATGATTTGCGGGATGAAAAGATATGCCAGGACTGTCAACAGCTGATGGCACGAGACAGCTGTGTTCAAAGCAGTGGACCACCATCACCAAAGTTTCTCTGCAGCCAGGAAAAGAAGTCTTCTCTGGCCCTGGCTCCTCAAGAACACCAAAAGAGAAGGCACGTCCCACCTCAGTAAGCAGAGGCTCACCTGTCTGGGTACAGTCAGGCCATAGGCCACTAGCAGCACAGAGGGCTGCCACCTCTTTGTTCTGGCAGCTTCCTGCATGCAGCTCCATTCCATTCGGGCACTTTTCACCCTCTACTGCAATTGTCTGTTCACAGAATTGCTTTGTTCAATAGCCCATGAGCTCCTCCAGGGCACGGAATGGTCTTGTTCGTCTTTTTATTATTACTACTTAACAAAGGGCTCAGAATATAATAAGCACTAGGAAATGTTTTTTCTCAACCTTGAAATATGAGTTAGCTAGAAATGTATTTATATTTGAAAACTAGGTCCCTGAAAAGTCTCATCTTGACTTTGAATATTTAGAACTGGAGGATCAAAGGCGACAACAATAAAACCCTTGACACAGCAGTCTTCATTATCGTAATGTATGAAAACCCATTACCACCATCACCAGTCAATACAAAATTTTTTAACTGGTCAGACAAAGCAATAACTGGTAATCCAAACTCTGGGAACATAGGACTTACCTATTCTTTAACTGTGCAAAATTTACTAAAGCAAAGTCAGTATTCTAGTGGAGTATAAATAGGCACGCTAATTTTTTGGAAGGCAATCTGGCAAGACTTCAATTGATCATATCCTTTGATCTTTACACATTTCCGAGATCAGCACACAAAAACAACTTTTACGCAAGGAGATAAAACTCTAAAACTATAATGCATTATAGTGTATATTTCCACTGTTCTTACAAAAGCCAACACACACAACATACACACACACACATGGAAATCTTACAGATGTTGAACAATAAGAGAATATCACCAGTGGGATTTTAATCAGTTATTAACATGATTTTTACAAAATAAATCTTGATAACTTAGGAAACTGTTTACAATGTAATTCTAATTGTAAAATGAATATAAAATTGCCATACAAAAATTCATACAAAATTCATACTAAAAAGACAATATAACAAGGGTGATAGAATTATGGGTGTTTTCTCCCCATGTTTTGCATATCTTACAATAAAATGTATTGCTTTACTAATAAGAAATAATTTTTAAATGATATTTAAGAGTATGTTTAAGAAGAGTTTGTATGACCATGAAAAGTGTTTATGTTTAATATTAAGTAAAATGTTGTATAGAGCTTTGTAAGAATTATCTGTGATCCCAGATAGATAAAAGAGAAAGGAGGAGAAGGAGAAAGAGGAGCAACAAGAAGAAGAAACAAAATAAATATAAAGAAATAACAAATATTTACAAAATTCATCTCCTTTGGAGAGTTTTGTATAGTTAGAAACTAAAGATAATTTTTTATCCTCTCTATTTTTCTCTTTTTAAAAAATTTAAATTTATGAGAATATTTACATTAAAAAATCAATAATGTTTTAAATAGTAAAGCCTGGAAATCATTTTCTTCAATTTTGGCTCCTTGACCACTAGGTAAAATATCATCTTGGCAGATAAAGAAGACCTTTAAATGAGAGCGTAGGGAACGCATCCTATTTAAATCCACTTAAAAACTGATATCATCTTTTTGCCTTTCTTCTGTGAACTTTCTACCACTGAAACCACAGTTCCCTACTTAAAATATCAGCTGAGATCTCCATATATACTACCACGGCCTCTGCTATTCCTATTTTCCCCTATTTGTCTGTCACTGTTAAATTCTCACCAGGCATCATATCTCTTTTGAAATAAAAGACAAACTAAAACAATAGGTAAAATGTCCATTCTCAAGTTGAGAATTTGAATCAAGCCTTAATGAATAAGTCAGAGTAAAACCCAGTCCTGGCAACAGATTAGGGCAAGTTCCTTAACTCTTCTGTTATTGGTAAAGAGAAAGAAAATGCTCTTGCATAAGTATCAGTGCTTTATCTTTGTCAATTTTTTTTCTGTTTAATAAGGAAGAAATATATTTTTTTTCGGAGTATATGGCAAGCAGAATAATGTTACTACCTCACCCCCCAAATGTCCACATCCTATCCCCAGTACCTGTGAATGGCAAAGGAGAATTATGGTTGATAATTAGGTGACTCTAAAATAGGGAGATTATTTGGAAATACCCCGGCGGCCCAATGTAATCACAAAGGTCCTTAAAAGTGGAAGAGGGAGGCATAAGAGGAAGTCAGAGTGATTAGGTGTGAGAAGAACTCAATCCACCATGGCTGGTTTTGAAGTGGAGGAAGGGGCCATAAGCCAAAGAATGTGGGTGGCCTCTAGAATCTGGAAAAAGCAAGGAGACAGATTCTCTCCTAGAGCACCCAGAAAAAAAATGCAGCCCTAAAAAGCCTGATTTTAGCCCAGTGACACTTCTCTGTTAGACCTCTGACCTACAGAACTGTAAGATAATAAATTTGTGTTTCCTTAAGCCAATATATTTGTGATAAATTGTTACGGCAGCAATAGAAAACTAATACAGAGCATCTAAAGTTATAGAATGAAACCAGAGAGCAAATAACAGACCAATTTACTTTCAACTAAAGTCAAAGAAAGTGATTTTAAAAATCTCAAAATTGACCCAATACCAAACTGAATGATTAAGAAGATAAATCTGCTTTGGATATTTTACAATAGGATGAAAGCGGGACATTGTCAATCTTCCAACCCTGATTTCTAAGCACTTCATTATTACTTTTTTATTGTAGTGTCTTTTGTTGTTATTTTATGTAAGTGTTATATATTCATTGTTTAAAAATCTGAAAATTACAGAAAAGTATAACTCTGAAAGCTCAGATCTCTGTAATTTTATACCCATTTCCTTCCCTGCTCAGGAACTAGTGGAAACTCCTACTCATAATTAAATGAGGGTGACCTCATATAGTTTTCCATAAGCAATATTTTTAGAGCAACTATACCTTTGCTTGATAAGGAGACAATATTTACTTCATTCTGAAACAGGCTAAAGGCAACTAGAACATCATCCCATAGTATTGATTCTCAACCAGAAGAGATCTGGCAATGTCTGGAGACATTTTTTTGGTTGTCACAACTGAGAGTGGAGTGTTACTGGCATCTGGTGGGTAGAGGCCAGGCATGCTGCCAAATATCCTACATTGCACAAGACAGCCGCCATGACATGGAAATATCCAGCCCCAAATGTCAATAATGCTGAGATTGAGAAACCCTGGTTTAAGTGATGCGAGTGAAATCATACCCTTGTTTAATAAGGAAGAAATATTATTTCATTCTGAAACAGGCTATAGGGAGGCAGATGCTTGTTCAATATAAGGAAGAACTTTTTAATAATTAGGCAATTTGTGATGTACAGGTCACAATGTAGAGTGCGTTCTTTGTCATGAGGAGGATTCAAATAACGCTAAGTGGTCCCCTGCCAGGGGCACTGAAAAAGGGATGGGTTCATGGGTGTGGTTGGACTCTGAGGTTCCATCTCTATGTAAGAAATGTGATTCCTTTTAAAAGCATCAGCAAAATGTTCCCATTTCATGCATGTTAACATTGAAACTAGGAAAGAGAAAAAAATACTTACTCAATATTATGTTCTCTCTACCATATGAGAAACTTAGTCTGGACATTATCTCAAATGTGTAACTTTTAAGTGGCTTCTGTAAAAATGTCAAATGTCTCTTATCTTGGGCACAGTAGATACAACTCTTGTGTAATCATTTCACAACAACCTAAGAAAAGAGATAAAGGTCAAGAAAGCAAAATAAGAAGCAGTTCCCTATTGTGGGAGCAATTTAACAAAATGGCCATTTATAAGTACAAGTTCTTAAAAGCTGCAAGGAAAATAAAATTAATTGATTCTACCTAGATTTTGAAAATCGGAACTCATCTGCATCCAGTTGGCAAATGTCCAGATGTTTGGTTACCTATACAGCTTTGACAGCATAAATATTAAAAGTTATCTAAGATCACTGGGCAGTTTGATGCCATACCGGAAACATGCTGGGATATTCCACACCAGTTAAACCACATTTCATGGAACTGGTAGGGCTTTAGGGATTTTAATACATCAAAGTTTAATCAAAGGAACAGAAACCCAACAATACCAGACTGGTGAGAGAATAAGGTAGCAAGTCACATGAGGAGCTGTTGAAGAAACCAGAGATGTTTACTTGGGGAAAACCCATGACAGCTATGCTAGTTTTATGGAAAAAGGACTGGTTCCATTTGCACCCAAAGTATAGAACTTGGTTTTCAGAAGCTTTACAACAATTACCGTATTCTCTATATTAGAGGAGCAGTTTAAGCATAGGCCTTGGGCTACCAGTAAGGATTCTGGAAAGGGGATTCCTGCAAGAATGAGGGTGAAAGTGGAATGGACAGGCTAGATAAGCCCAAACCTGAGGCTTAATATCAGAGGTCTAGAAGGTCCAGTTAGGCAACTTATATGAGTTAAATAGGACCTGTATAATACAAAAAGCAGTGGTGGGGACTTGGCAAACCGGACGATCTGCAAAGGAGTCACATCACTCTATTCCAGCAGATTGCTGTTATGTAAGAATGAGAGCTCCGTGTTACTAAGTCTTCTGCTTTATTTTTCAAGAAAAGCTGAAAAATCATTTTTGTATGTAAAATCTACTGATTTATAAGAGAGAGCAGCTATTCGACATTGCAAAACATGTAATTTGAACAGAATAGATTAGTGGCTTCAAGGAGGAAATTTAATCTCTCCCCTAAAGATGCCCCAACCACCTTCAACCCTACAGGACAATGATGGTAAATATGGCAGAAAATGAACCGTACAGATCCCAGAATGAGTCACATTTTGTCTGCAATTTGAATCACCAGACTGGCCACTTCAAACTGAAATTCAGACACATCGACCAATGAATAATTAATGGGGTCTGACAAGTGAAGGTAATCAAGAGACTGTTAAGTCACTAAGAATTGAATCTTCCAGTGCACACAATGTAAATGAGAAAGGGCCTCCATTTGCTTCTAAACAGAAATCTCCTTTTCGTGAGTTGTGCATCAAAATGAGGCAGGAAAGAGAAATAGGGTTGCCTCATTGTGGCAGTCAGTTGTCCTGTTGCTGAGGCCATCCCTACTTCACTTGGTAAACAACACCAAAACTCTTCCCTGGCCCTCTAAAATTTAGTTAGTGATCAACTAGGGAAAGTTCAATAGTTTCCTATGAGAGAGAATGCTCCACTAAGCGAAACAATACTACTATTCAACTCTGGTTCACAGCCCTCTCCAGAAATTCCGCTGCCACATACAGATTTTCAATTATTGACAAATCTTTCCCTTCACAGATATAAGTGTACAATCGTATCCAGGACAGAGGCAAAGCTGCTAAATTCTTTTTTTTTTTTTTTTTTTTTTTTTTTTTGTATTTTTTCCAATTCCAAGCTTTATATATTCTAGTTTGAGTTTTACCTGATCACATTCAACTTTTAAAAGTAAGCCGGCTATCAGTTTAGCATTAATTTTACTGCACTCTATGATGGTGTGTTCTATTGGTAACTCTGAGTTAAGGTTTGTCAATGCTCTCAACAGAGAAAAACATTTTTTATGTATAATAAATTATATTAATTAAAAATAATAAGATAAATAAAAAGACACTGAAATTTATTATAAAAATTTTGAAAATGATGCACAGGGAATTCAAAGCAACACGATATTAGCAAATAATGATAGTAGTAAAATCATTACCCTTAAGAGCATATTCGCCGGCTTATTTATTTTTACAAGATAAGTGAGCCAGATGTAGCAATGTCATCTCCATTAAATAGATGGGAAATTTGAGAAACATTAACTTCCCACTCTACCTCCCAAAAGAGCTCCGCCCACCTACTGCTACCATCATCCACTAGATCATCGGCAATAAACCTGGAGCCGATCTCCTTACTTATTCTCTCTCCCGCCCCCATAATCTATTCTTTACATAGCACCCAGAGTTACCTGTGAAAAAAAATAAATAAATCTATCATGTCACGCCTCTGTTTTTGGCTTTTCAATGCATGTAAAGCCCGACTGCTTACCTCAGCCTATGAGGCTCTGTTTAAGCTGGCCCCTGCCCCTCAACCTCATTCCTCGGTTCCCCTCCTCTCTCAACATACTCCAGCCACACTGTCTTCCAACTGAGCCTAGAGCACAGCAAGCTCGTTCCCAGTTTGCCTGTGGCCACCGGAACTGTGTGCCTGTGGCCACCGGAACTGTGTGCCCATCTTACGGGGATTCGTCTCAAGGCCATCTCTCAGAAAAGCATATCCTCAAAATTCATTCTAAGAAACCGGGTCCCTCCCACCTGTTCAACACACCCACACACACACACACACCCCCGCAACATTCTACCACAGCTCGTCGCCGCTCCCGGTCCCCCGCCTCCAGCGCGGCGCCAGACCAGCCTGAGTCGGGCTGGCTCTGCACCTCTCCCCCGGCTCCCGCCTCTCCCTCGCGGTTCCTCCTCACCCGGGCGCTTCGGTGAGCTGCTCTCAAGAACCCAGGGCCCTGGGCGAGCTCCGCTGCGCACCGACGCGACCCGCGCCAAACTCGACTGCCACTCGCTGCCAGCACTTTCGGGCCTCTGCCAACTTGGCGGCTGGGAGACAAAACAGCTCGGGTGTGCTGCGGACAAGTTGGCGGCAGCGGGCTTTGCCCTGGGTCCGCCCCGCGCGATCTTATCGCCCTACCCTCTTCATCCCCTGCGCTGCAGGAGGAGGGGCCGGGGTGGAGCGTGTGGCCAGCAGCAGCCTCCCACAAGCAGCGGCAGTTTGGGACGCTAGGATACTCAGACGTCAACACTCTCGGGAGGAGGAGCCCGGGGTTCCGCATTCTGGACCCGCGGTTAACTTATTCCGCCCTGGGAATGGATCTAGACAGCGCCTAGGGAGGGTGCTGTGCCTCGATTCTGATCCTAATCAGACCTGTTCCCTATTTAATTTGTCCACACCAAACCAACCTCGCTTGTTTCAGATTCCCTCTGCTCTAATCTGTAATCTGATAAACCCTCTGCATTTCGCATTTCTATGCGAAGATGTAGATTGGACACTAATTCAAAACAATTATGTGGAATGTGCTCTGGATTGAAAAGCCGGCCACTGTGTTAGTTTCATTTCTCCATGGAGGTATACTGCCAGGCAGTCTGGAAGAGAGGTTATGACCGGGGAGTGGTGGTGATGTAAGAGGGGCCATCCATAGCTCAGTTTATTTATCTCAGTTATTTGGGTTTAACTGAAACCCCTTCCTAAATTTTGCAATGCTTTCTCCTCAATCTACTTTCTAACGAAAACATAGACATTTAAAGTTTCCGTTAGAGACTTGGGAAAGATTATTTGAAATGTATGTCTGGTGTTATTAAAGTTTGTATTTTTTAAATAGTGATTTTTGGTTTTGAGTGGGTGACAGAACTGTAGATGAAATTTATTTTATTTTTATTCTGAGGACTACGGTAAGAAGGCATGGATTACAGCTAGTTTCTCCCCCACATGTTAGTGGTTCTCAGCTTCCTCAGCGTTAACATAGAGATGATCAAAGTACATTAGTTAGAGGCACTTTGTGAGAATGAAATGTAAATGCATGTGAAATGCTTAGGATGAGCCCAACATGATAGATAAGACAGTGACTTATTAAACCTAACAAGATGAAAATTTATATTAAACAGTATTAGCCTAATGACATTTCCCTGTACTACCTGAGATAACCTGCTATAAAACAAATTGCCCCAGAATATTACTCTAAAAGGGTACTTTATGCTCTATCCAAGAGATCTCTAGGCCTTCTTTCCTTTGACCTTAACACCAGATTATGAAGCAGAAAACTCTACATCACACCTAAAAAGATGGTGGGCTTTGAAAGTAGATCTTGAAGGCAAGTATAAGATATTTTATTTATTTCTCTCTAAACCAGCTCTATACCTTCTCCTCATCATCAGATCATATTCTCTGAAGCAGGCATGGTGGTTGGTATTTACTAGATTAGTGCCTTGAAAAGATACCCAGTGTAGAGTAGCTGGGTTTAGCAAACAAAACTACAGGACACCCAGTTAAATTTGAATTTCAGATAAACAAGGAAAAAGTTTTGGTGTAAGTATGTTCTATGCAATATTTGGAATATACTTGCACTAAAAATTATTTTTGTTTCTCTGAAATTCAGATTTAACTGAGCATCCTGTATTTTATCTGGCAACCCTAGTCCAGTGAAATTAATAAAAAATTAATTTAAAAATTCCAAAAGGATGAGAAGACAGCAAAACATATAGATTATAAGGTGAGTCTCATATGGGTTTTGTTTTAATGTCATGTAGTGAGGAAAAGAAATAATGTTCTTGTGTTTATAAGCTAATTCTTAGTTGAGCTCTTTTATTTTTTAATTCTCACTCCCATTTCCCATCAACATAGCAGTGCTTACTTACTCTCTAATATGAACAAAAATGATGGCTCTCCCTTTCAATCAAGATATCAGTTTAAATAATAATAATGTACTCAATAGTGTTTTCAATAGTATTTATTAAGGGCCAGATGTCTGTCAGGTACCATTTCGAAGATGAATAAGACACAGTGTGTGCCCTGAAGACTAAGAAAATAACAACATGGAGTGCTACCCCAAGTAGGTAAATGCAGAGGACTGTGGGAGTTCAGAGTGAGTTACTAATTGTCCTCCAAAGGGGCAGGAGTCAAAGCTGCCCTTGATGCACAAGATTGAAAGAAAAGTGGCTCCAATCCAGATGAGCCCAGGAGGGAAGTTCCAGGATCACAGCTGTGCCTAGGCCTGGAAACTAACACATCGTAACTGGAGCAAACTGAAAGAAAAAATGGGATTCGAGAAAACTGAAAGAATGGTTGGAACTTAGAAACCCTTGATCCTGTTAGAAGGTGACAGAATGAAAGGAAGAAGATTAAATTACTTAAATTTAAAATAAAAAATTTAAGTTAAAACTAGGAACTGCAAGGTGGAAAACGTACCAGGAAAAGCATGATACGAGTGTGATGAAACCTAAAATGGATTGATTTTGAGTTATTTACTGGGTGGTATCTAAAAAGAAGACTATATTTAAACCTGAAATTTAAGAATATACTTCTCAAAATAGCCCAGAGAAAAAAATATGATTGAATGCTCCACTCAACTGTGGAGAACAAGATTCATGTAGTTTAATAATTGAAACATTGCTTATTGGTTTTCAAATTTTAGAATATCTCATAAACAAGCCAAAGAATAATTGATTATGATTATACATGAGAATGTAATATGATTAACTGTTTTTTAAAATGTAAAAGTAAAGGTAGGTAGGTAGATAGGTAGAAGGAAGTAGAAGTAGGGAGCAGGATGGAGAGAAGATTGGGTTACTAAGGGTCTCATTTCAGTAAGTGGAGAGTCAACACATACTGTCTGTAGTTGGTAAAACAGGAAACGAACGTCTGGATACATAGTAACTTTGCAAGGGGGGAGAGCAGCAGGAGTGCCTAAGATGACACACCAAGAAATGATAATATAGCATATCGTTTTGGAAACACAGAGATAACCACCAGTCATCTAAAAACAGAAATCACTTAGAATGATTCTTTTGGGGGAATTGTACTGGAATTGGGGTGGGGTGTGGTGGGAGACTCTGCCTTTTCTCTTTTAGTATTTTAGTACTATTTAACTATTTGGAGTATGTGCATGATTACATTGATTAAATGTTTAAAACTTCTTAAGAATAAAAATTTGTGAAAAAGAAGGCTTTACCTAGATAGTGGCTTTCAAGGATGAGTAGCAGTGCATCTGGAAGAAAGAGAGGGAGAATATTCTATAGAATGCGAAACTGCATGAGAAAAGGCGTGTGGGGCAGGGAGGGCGTTAAAAGTGAACAGTATACCTCGGGAGTGTCAATTCTCTGCTATGGCAAGAGCATCAGGTATATAGGTAGGATGGAGCAGAAGGTAAGGATGAAAAGATGAGTAGGGGCTGCCATAACAGTCTTCTGAGTAATGCAATGGAGTTTGCAGTATGAGCTTCTTAAGGACAGGAACTTTGCCATTTTTATTAGCCTGCATTCAGTAAGGAGCCTAGCACACAGTAGTTGCCCAATAAATGTTTTCTGAACGAATGAAAAATATCTTGGGGGAAATGGGGAACCATCAAAATTTTTAAGCAGAGCAGATGTATTACTTATTTTCGAAAGAATTTTGTACTAAAAAAAGGTGAATCGAGATTGGAGAAATCGAAAGCAGAGGATAAATTAGGAGTCTTTTAGGAGAAAGGTGATGGTGTAAAACAGAATAGTGACAGTGAGAACTGAGATTGGAAGATCTACTTAAGGGATATTAACAAGGCAGAAATGGACATGAGGAGTAAATAAATAAAAAAAAAAATAGGATGTGTCCAAAATGGCCCTGGGATTTCTAGCTGGGGAAACCAGGTAGATGATGGGCTATTGACTGAGAAAGGAAAACAGGGAAAAGGAACAGGTTGGAGAAGTGAGTTAATACATGCAATTCTGTGTATATTGAGTTTAAAAGGCCTGTGGATGATATTTTTAAAATTGTGGGTCTTGAACCATTAACAACTTATCAAGTCTACTTGAGAGTCAAGACTAGTAGTTTTAAAAAAAGTGGACAGGATAAATTTTAAAGTGTATCGTGTGCGGTAAAGTTAAGTGTTATTTCGTAGAACTTGTATTTCTTCATAAGTAAGTATGTACATAACTGATCTAAAATATATTTTCTACTATACGTCAGAAAAAAATATTTGAGAGACTTTGCCCTTGCATACCAGGTAGAACAAGTGATGTGTGGAATCACATTACTCCTGCTTGAGAGAGCTACCTGTGCACATTTCTTTCCAACTCTGTATTCAGTGACTTCACATGGATAGCTGGAAATCAGTTGTAGTAGAGTCTTCATGCCACAGAGATCAGCAAATACAAGAAAATTGGCCTTTTACCCTCTATAGTGAGCTAGCACATCTCTGAGTGGAACTATCTCATGGGTAGTTAGTTATGCATGTCTGAAGCTCAGTATAGACCTGGCAGAAGTTATTTGGAAGTGAAAATGCCCAGAGTATTTGGGCATTAAGAGTTGACCATTAAGAGTTTTTAGAGAGAGCAGAGGTAGAAGATAGAATTCTAAAGAACATCACATTTGTGGAAGGTAGGAGGAAG